TTAAAGACCTCCAAAGAAGGAGACTCCACCACACTCCTTGGCAGCAAATTCCACTGTCGAACAGCTCTTACTGTCAGGAAGTTCTTCCTAATGTTTAGGTGGAATCTTCTTTCTTGTAGTTTGGATCCATTGCTCCGTGTCCGCTTCTCTGGAGCAGCAGAAAACAACCTTTCTCCCTCCTCTATGTGACATCCTTTTATATATTTGAACATGGCTATCATATCACCCCTTAACCTCCTCTTCTCCAGGCTAAACATGCCCAGCTCCCTTAGCCGTTCCTCATAAGGCATCGTTTCCAGGCCTTTGACCATTTTGGTTGCCCTCCTCTGGACACGTTCCAGTTTGTCAGTGTCCTTCTTGAACTGTGGTGCCCAGAACTGGACACAGTACTCCAGGTGAGGTCTGACCAGAGCAGAATACAGTGGCACTATTACTTCCCTTGATCTAGATGCTATACTCCTATTGATGCAGCCCAGAATTGCATTGGCTTTTTTAGCTGCCGCGTCACACTGTTGGCTCATGTCAAGTTTGTGGTCAACCAAGACTCCTAGATCCTTTTCACATGTACTGCTCTCAAGCCAGGTGTCACCCATCTTGTATTTTTTTTGCCCAAGTGCAATACTTTACATTTCTCCCTGTTAAAATTCATCTTGTTTGTTTTGGCCCAGTTCTCTAATCTGTCAAGGTCATTTTGAAGTGTGATCCTGTCCTCTGGGGTGTTAGCCACCCCTCCCAGTTTGGTGTCATCTGCAAATTTGATCAGGATGCCCTTGAGTCCATCATCCAAATCGCTGATAAAGATGTTGAATAAGACCGGGCCCAAGACAGAACCCTGTGGCACCCCACTAGTCACTCTTCTCCAGGATGAAGAGGAACCATTGCTGAGCACCCTTTGGGTTCGGTCAGTCAGCCAGTTACAAATCCACTGAGTGGTAGCATAGTCAAGACCGCATTTTACCATCTTCTTTACAAGAATATCATGGGGCACCTTGTCAAATGCCTTGCTGAAATCAAGGTAGGCTTCCAGAGACCACCTTCTGCACAGGAACAGGTCTAAGTGCTGTGGACTCACAACTCAGAGCTGTGAGCACCAGATTCACTTCCGAAGACAGTCATTGCACAGCAGAGTACAGCAGAGCATAAACCACTCGGAGAACAGCTCTGTAGAATAACTGCTTTTATTCTATCTACAACTATCATACAAACTATATACAGAGCTAAATGAGGTCTAAACGAAAAAGCTGAACTGCACTGAGTGTCTGCAGCTGCTCTTAGCAGCAACCTTATCTATACACACGATCTCTCTCTAACACTCAGTCTCTCTCTCTCTCTCTCTGATGTGAGGCTGGAGCGAAATAAGTAGAGAGCTGAAACCGCCCCTCCTCTCTGGAGAATCAGCAGAGAACATCAGCAGATTCTTGGATATGGGAGGGGTGAAATCTCCTCAGGGGCTAGCTCGCTGGCCTCACAACTCCCTTACATGTTCTTTCAATGCAAGGGTATGGGATTGTGACAGGTCTATTCTCCGTGACTTTGCCCATACCGCTGGCAATCACCACAGTAATGGCAACAAACCCATATGATAATGGGTGAAGAAATGCCTTTTTATTGGTCCCGAAAATAAAGCATAATTCATTTATGCTGAATGACTCTTCATCACTTGGCAGTACAATCCAACCAGCTGGTTTAGCAACATGGCTTACAAGTGCACTCTGTAATCATTTACTACTTGTAAATGATTGTCTGTATTCACCCAGGAATTACCATTTTAGACAAAAACTTTATCCTTTATGGGGATAGGTTTTTCACTATGAAGGAAGAACTCCAGGAGACAAAGTGAAGAGGTTAACAGGCAGATGTTTACAAAAATCTGAGTTCTAATGATCTATGTTTGATCCCAGTTACTATAACCATAACGATCTGTAGTCCTTTAAAGACTGCAGCCTTCAAACCAAGATTCTAGGATAACCCCATTAAGGTCAGTGGTGCAATGTTGTTTAAAGGCTGTGATTGTAATTTCTGAAAATGCATGCTAATGTATGGACGACACTCACTAATTATTATTGTCCTTGAGGCTGCCCAGTCCTTAGTGCCATCCTTTCCTACTAATTCTCCATTATTAATGTTTAAAACTATTTAGTCTGGAGTGATATGGCATTTCAGAATAAACAACTGGTGTCTGCTTTATAGTTTTATCAGGACCTTCAAAGTCAACAGCTCTCTTTGTGCTCCATGCAGAGAAGAACTCTTGGGCATAATTTGGGTGTAAATAATTGATGCTGTTCGTAAACTGGATTATTCATATGGTAATCAGAGCTCTATGCGCTGTGTGCAATATTTAACAGCAAAAACTAAAAAAGATTTTTTTGGTAAAAACAACAACAACTTGACCCTTCTTGTATTGAGGAGAAAACAAACAATTTCCCACAATTGTCATTAATTCTGAGCACTTCCTCCCTAGATTTTACACTACAAATCTGTGTAACTCCTTTTTTCTCACTACAGATGAAACAAAGCATATATATATTTCCTTTCCAAAGCAACCCAGAACTGCAAGTTGAGTTACTTGTCAGATTTGTGTAGTCTGTGTTTCCTATAGCCTACAAAAGGATTGCGAGGGATATTAAGGAGAAGCAATGTCATGCCAAAATCTATTCAAAATCCTGAGGAACTGAAATGTCAGCAACGTGCTACTCCCTATTTATAGAAGGAGTCATAGCTGTGGCATCTAAAGAAAAGGCACAACCAGGTAGCCGAAAGAGAACGAGTTGCAGCCTGCAGATACTAAGGAGTGAGGATGGTCTGGGAATGGTATCCTATAAACATGTCTGCTTTTTAAATGCAGCAAAAAAAAACACCTTATGTAGAACATCTACCACAGCCACTCAGGCTTAGAGTGACCTTTTGCTCTTCCATCTAGAGAGGCAATGGAGGCAGGCACACCTCTTAATTTTAAGAAAGAGAATGTCACAGTCACAAGAAAAGTGGAGCTACGTCTGCTTTTTCAGACCACTCCTTCTTTGGACTTGGCGCACACATGCAGGGCTAGCCCACCTATGAGGCAAGGTGAGGCAACAGAATCCACAGGGGCAGCACATCTGGCCTCCAAGGAATGCATTGCCCATGGCTGCTGCCCCCTTGTTACCAAAGTAGATCTTCACCTTCCCCCTTGTTTCTGATGTAGGTCTTCACTCACCCCTTCTTCCTTGGCAACTGGAGGGGAAGCCATTTTGTGTTTCACCTCAGGTGCCAAAATATCTTGGGCCAACCCTGCTAGCACCATAACTCAACCTAGGAAGAAAAGCTAAGGCTGTGTTCTTATTAGCAGTTTGAAATACTACAAGGTCATTTCTCCCCTTAAAAAACCAGTGGTGAGAGCCTGCTGGAGCTGCAGCAAAGGGTAATGTGAACATACCCTTAATTTCAATCCCAGTTGAAGGCTCAATAGTGTTCTGTCGAGTTTCTGATTTTGTACACATTACTTGGCTGAAGAACCACATTGCAAAATTGGGAGAATATCTAAAGGGCTTTCCCATGGAAGATGGAGCAAGCTTGTTTTCTCCACTCTGGAGAGTAGGACCCAAACCAAGGGATTCAAGTTACAAGGAAGGAGATTCCAACTAAACACCAGGAAGAACTTTCTGATATTAAGAGCTGTTTGACAGTGGAACAGACTCACACGAGAAGTGGTGGAACTCTTGTTCCTTGGAGTTTTTTAAGCAGAGGTTGGATGGCCACCTGTCACATATGATCTAGTTGAGATTCTTGCCTTGCAAGGGGTTGGATTAGATGACCCTCAAGATCCCTTCCAACTCTACCATTCTATAATTCTATGAAGGACAACAGTGTTTTGGTTCACAAATTGTTTTGGAAAATGCAGATTCTGTAGGTTCACATTTCAATGTGATCTGAATTAATTTCTCCACCATCCCTACAGGGCAGTCTTAAGGAAGCCAGTCAGTATCTTTTGGGGGTCTATCCATAGAGAGTAATAACACATCAGCATTAGTGTAACAGGTCATTGCTTAGAGTAAGTTTGAATAGACCGTTTATATTTTTATATAAAATGTTTGAATATTTTTTAATGATTGGAGTCCCCCCTCCATGTTTTTAGCTGTTCCTATTTCATCGGTAAGCTGCCTTGAGTCCTTGGTTAGGGGGAACGGTGGAATAGGAATAAATATGCAATAATAATAGGGCAAAAATGGTTTGCCATATTTTGGGGTAAAATACCATTCCTTGAACAAATGAATGAACAAAGCCACCAGTGAAGAAATTCTGTTGATCTTCTGCACTATGTGCTTCAAACCCAGTAGTTAACTGCAACCTGGGCTTGCTGCTTTTGTAATGGCTGGTCCTATATTGTCCCATTTTAAGAACAATGCTGCAAAGTGTGCTCCTGGATTGATATAGATTTACAATTATCCTAATACATAATTATCCTAATACATTTACTTGAGTTACTATATTACGAACCATAGATACATCAGTATTATATATTATTAATTGACAGCACACAGTTCTTACAGTACTGCTTGGGGCACAGATTCTACAATTAAGTGAGAAGGGAAGGGGAGTAAGACCGCATTTGCTGTGGCAGTGAAAATGGGAGGAAAATAAGGTATGAAAAGATATCTGAAGCAGATCGCACTGTGGAGGATCAGGACAGATGGCTCCAAATAATAATAAGACACAGGTGGCCTTGTAGCTTCTGAAGGACAAACCATACAAATGACTTTTTCGTATTGCTTTTTATCCTGTAAAATGTGTCTGCTCTGAATATTTATGCCATATTGTTTCCTATTAATACATATTTCTAGAGCACTTTGTACAGGGTGATTTCCACGCCTTGGACACATTCATGCCATACATTTAGAGCGGTATCAAACCTTTATCATACCACTTTAAACAGTCATGGCTTTTCCCAAAGAATTCTGGGAGCTGTAGTTTGTTAAGGGTGCTGAGAGTTGTTAGGCGACCCCTACTAACAAGCTACAATTCCCAGAGTTCCCTGGGAAGAGGGACTGATTGTTAAGCCTGGGCCACTTCAGGTTGATAAGGTAAACTCAACCCTGAAACTGCCAAAATTATTGTAGTAATTGGTAGTTATAGAGTTAAATATTATCTCCAATTATTATGTTTTGGAGATAAGAACAAACTAAAAGGTGGATTCTTATGTTCCTATGTTGTTGTGCCTTAGCCTATTCACCAGTAAGCAACCTCACGCTCTGGGCCTACAAAACCTTACTTTATATTAAATAAATAAGAACATAACCATTATGAAGAGATATTGAAGATTCTAAAACTCTTCAAATGAGGTAGAAAAATTGCACCCTCTTTTGCAAGGAGAGACAACATTTGGGAAATTGGAAAAGAGCGTTTGTGGGGGTTGAGGGCTGCAACTGGGAAGAAGAATCAGCTAACACACACACAGTCACACAGTGTGTGTGCAGAAATGCTTCTTCTTTGTGTGTGTGGATCTTTAGATGCAAGCCTTTAGAGATGGTAATGATTTGCTGGAGCACTTTCAGCAGTGAATATGGCGACCAAGGATGTGGCTGTTAAATCAGGCAGACTTTGAGAGGAATCAAATGAGGCTTTGTATGCTCTTGAACTGGATTATCGGACGGGCTTTTCACACATTCTTGTGTCTAACTCATATGCTTCCATGGCTCTTCAGAGTATTTACGTACATATTGCTGACAATATTGTATCTGACAGAGAAATGTGTTTATAAATTGGGTGTTTATGGGGAAATATGGAATCTCTGCAGCTAGTGGTATTGTTGAGTCTTAAACAATAAAATGTTCCTCTAAGAAACAAAGCTACAGAGACACTTGTTTAAGGGAGCCATTTCAAAATATTATTTGTAATTTTCATCTCCTTTAATTTCGAGTTGCATTGAAAAAAGAGTTTCCTTCTTTTTAAAATGTGTTTTTCTTTTCCCCTAGCCTGTGATATCATTGCCATCAGCATGGAATTGGTGTATCATCAGCAACAAGACCAAAGCAAAAACAATGTCAGTAAAAGAGAAAGGAAGAAACTATGCTACTGCAACTACTAATGGTGGGCTTTGCCCCCAACAAATTGTTGGAGAATTTCCACACCCCTGAAGAATTTTCATGAAATGAGTTTCATACAAATAAGGTAGAGAATTTTGATAGGCCATTTGCACACAGCTCTATGTACCTGTACAGCTTTCTCTCAAGCAACAGCAATTGACAGCATGATGAGGTGCTGCCACTCACCTGATCTGCAGTCAGTTGTGTTGCTGCTGCTTAGTGGAAGGTAGAGAGGGAGGGAGGAGCCATCAGCAAGGTCAGCATGGTGCAAACTCATGGGCAGGGTCAATGTTGTGCTCTTGACATGGTTCTTCAACGGCACCAACCTCACCACCACCTTACCCTCTCCCCCGATCTACTGTACCTTCCAGTCTGTAGCAGTGACATGGCCAGGTGAGGAACACCACCTCAACACGCCTTCTGCTAGAATACCCATTCTGTGTGTTTTCAGCCAAGAGGGCAGTTCACAGCACAAGCCCTTTTTGAACTCATTCTCACCTCCTGGATGTTCAGGTTATATGATAATAAAAATAATTAATATCAAACGAAGATTTTTTTAAAGGAATGTTGACAGCCCAATACAGAAACAAGTTTGTGTGTCATTGGAGGGGTGAAGGAAAAATGAGTCAAATTCACCCAGAAAAGGGTGTCCAACCCCTGTTTGTAGAAGCATTTGGAGACAAACTTCTTCAAATAAAATTAATCAGCACAGAGAGAAAGACAAACAGTGGCAAGTGCAGAGAAGAGAAGCCCAGCTACAGCTTAGGAAAAGTTACTTTTTGATTAGAACATTTTTGAGGGTTGAAATCATTTGACTTCAAGCTCTTTTCCATTGTCTGCACTTTTATTTCCCAGGATATAAATCCATTTTGTAATTACTCCACTAGTCTTATCTCAGAAACTTTGCCTGACACACCATTCCATATGTTTATGATTCTCTGAATGAAAAAGTGCTCCCTGACAACCGTTCAGATTTTTCCTTTAATTTCCATTTATGCCTTATTGTCTTAGAATGTTGAACTGGAAATATATGTTGCAATATTGTGTGACATTATCTGTATTACTTAAGATTTTATATACCCATACATCAACCAAACATCAGATAAATCTCGTGGTTGCTCTTTTTTTCCTCCCTTCATCTTCTTTTCTACTGCTCTGTAGGTAATAGATTCAATTTAGTCTCTGTGACAAGTTAACTTTAAGGGTTTCTCACAAAACTAGGAGAGAATACATCTACATTTGGGTTTGAATTATTCAGAAATGGCTCCAAGTATCCCCCCCCCCATTGTAGAGTAGGAAAAATAAGTTGGATTTAATAAAACTCTCATTTGCTTATAAAATTATTTGTAAATTAAACAATATTTATGATTATTAACAGATCAGTCAGTAAATTATAATCAAACCAATACAATTTTACAGTTTACAGATTTGCAAATTACAGCCCAATCCACAACCCTGAGAAATGTAGCTTAATTGTATCATAAACCACAGTAGCTGATCTGATTAAAATCCAAGAATTTTGGATTAGATGTTCTGCGAAGTGGAGGTTACTACTGCGACACAATAATGGCCCAATCTTTTAGCAGCTGCTACCTGCCTGTGCAGGACTAATTAATGACAGCATCCTAAAGGAAGTTAAGATGCATGCCATGAGTATGAGGTGCACTTCAGTGTAGCTAGTTTCAGAATAAGGATCTAGGGAATTCCAACATGCACCTCAATTAGGCAAACAGAATTAAATTCCAATGAAATAATGTTTTTGTGATTAGGGTGTTAAGCAATTACCCAGCTACACACACACACACCTATTTGTGATCCTGCAATACTGATTTCTAAATACTTATGGTTATGTTCAGAGATGAAGCAGAGCATTTCCCCACCTTATTTATCATACACTGGCACAGAAACAAAATCAGTCTTCCGAAGATTCTGATTACTTGTGAGCAAGTTTCTTGTCAGCAGTTTTCAAAATGTACAATGGAATTAATCTTCTGCAAGGTGGAGGTACAGTCTATCAGCTAAGCCTCTCTCCCTACCCTTCTCCCACACCCCTATTTAGCTTCTCGCAGAATATATGGTTGTGATAAATTAGCAGGAGTTGGAGGTGCAACCATTTCAATTCTGTTTTCATTCTGCGCTGTCAGAAGAAAACGACACTAATTGTTTTGTCTTGCTCAGGTGAAACAAATGGAGCTTTAGGGGAGGGGGAAAATTAAATATCAACATGTACCTTTGTAAGTCCCAGTTTTACTGCTGTTTATTTGATTAAATTTGAAAATATTAACCCCAGTCCAGAAACCAGGAAACTGCAAAAAAAAAAAAGACATTTATAGATTTTATTTCTGGAAATATCACTGAAATGCTTTTGTCTAGAGCTACAACGTATTTAATAAGGCCGTGCAACTGATTTTTCCTAATCCTGAATGGAATTCAGCCGATTCGTACTGATTTGTACCAAATCTGGATTGGGTTGAGGCAGCTATAAATTGCTAGAGTTGGGTGGATCCAAACTGATTTGTAGCAATTTGTGTTGATCTGGAGCTCAAAATGTTCTCTGATAAAGCCAGACCTACTATCACCAAAGCATTTAATTTATTGATTACAACACCATATAAGGAGAACACCAGGGCAAGGGAAGAGGGAGGCTCATTGGCAATTCTAGCTTCCAATTCAGGGCTTACAATCTCACCCAACCCACTCAGTGCTTGGGGAGAAGGAAGTTCACATTGCTATCACTCTTATAAACTCTATCTCTTAGAAAGACTTTGGTGGCATTTGTTCGGCTTCTGTTTTGTTTTCTTCACAGTACTCTGACAAGCCTTATACCTGTTTGCTATCCACCCCTAATCAATCCCAATCCCATCTTTATACAAATACAGTAAAAGGTTTTTTTCCGGGTCCTAATCTTAGTTACTTAGGCAATGTCACTTACCTTATGTCCTGCTCCCATTTTGGCCCTAGTTTTTAAGGTTTGGTTTGTATTTTATTTACAGGTGTGTTCTGTTTTCTGTGTTGGTCTTTATTAGTACATGTGTTTGTTTGTTTGTTTGTTTGTTTGTTTGTTTGTGGGGGGGTAAGTATTATGAGTACATTGTGCATAGTCAGTGCACAAGCAGCACACATACAGGGTAATATTACATATATCAGTCTTTTTTAAAAAAAATCTTTTTTGGGGGGGAAAGCAAACTTTAAAGGTGGCTGGCATAAAAATCTCTTGATTAACCTGTCTGAAATTTGCCATGATAAATCCTGCCTTGAGGGGTTATCATGTATCCAAATTTCATGCACTATGTGAAAAAGCTAAAAAGCTGTGTACATTTTGGTTTCCCAGAGCAAGTGAATAGTATTACAAGGTTTGGATTTCTGGATCAGGTCCAGATTGATCCAAATTAAACTGGAGCCAGATCTGGATTGTCACATTGGATGGGTGTGTGTGGATTACACGGCCCTCATATTGAAACCAGTTGCTGACTTGGTTTGCTCACATACCAAAACCTCACTGTCTGATATGGTAATCATATCACTACAATGCAAATTTTCTTTCATTTACAGCACAAACTGCACATTCCAACCACATATGAACTATAATGAATCAGAATTTGACATTGTGAATGGAGAACAAAATGAATTGGAGCCACACCTATCCATGCATTGAGTAGACCCACTGAAATCAACGGGACTTAGGTAAGTCATAAGTAGGTCGGTGCTTAACTATGGCTGGATCGTGCTAACATAGTGCAATGCAAAATAGTGAAGCCATGAGAACTCACTCAGCTGTGCATAATAGAGGCATAGTTAAAAACACAATTAAAAATTAAAAAGTGTCTTGATCTGAAAATATTATATATGTATTCATCCACTTCAAATCAGTTTCCATATTCTTTTTGCCATTAATCTTCAGTATCACACTCAAAACAGGTGTTTCAACAGCCCATTAATTGCTTATAAATCTACCCGTGCTTCTTTCCAAAGTGCAGAGCAGTAGGAGAAAGTCATCACTGTTTCTTTGCTTCATTCAAAGCTGCAACCCAACTTGCTGGGAAGCAAGTTTCATTGAACTATGTAAACCATATTGGACTGTTATTGAGTTCAGTGAAGGATTGGAAAGTTGACCTTGGGTCCCATTGCTTAAACCTCACTAGAAGAAGCTTCTATACACATTGGCTAACATCTTCAACATCCTTTGCTTTCTGTGTTTACTCCCGCTGAAGGCCACTTTATTTTTATTCAGTGGCGAATGCCCCAATCCGAAAGAAAGCCAGTGAAGTGTGGTGGTTGAAGAGTTCGAAAATAAGCCTCATTGATGTAATTTTATGTGGTGAACCTCCCTGAGATCTACAGATGAATACAAATTTAAGAAATGATAATTACAATAAAAACCGAATGATCTATCTTCTGTTTGTGACAAACATCACAGTTGTTTCAGCAGAACTTACTTAAGGTAAAGACGCTTGGTGTTGCTGCATAATTTTGCATGGGGAAGAGTTGACCAAATTCACAGCATACATTTAAAGCACTCTTAAAGCACTCTGTCATGACCTCCCTGAAGGAACCCTGGGACCTGTAGTTTGTTATGGATTCTGAGAGTGGCTATTTCCCTCACAGAGCTACAATTCCCAGATTTCCCTGGGAAGAGTGATTGTTAAACCACTCTGACAACTGTATCTCTGTGAGAGGGGTGTGTGGGGTCTCCTAACTGCTCTCAGCAACCTTAACAAACTACAGTTCCCAAGATTCTTTAGGGGAAGCCATAACTGTTTAAGGTGCTAGATTTGGCCCATGTCTACTTAACAGCTGGAAACTAGTTTGCTGAGCTGCTTCTCGATCTTCGCACATCTGCGTCAAACTTGTAATTAGAGAAATGAAAATCTTCTTCATCTATAGCTGTTCTCATCAAGGGAATGTCTTGGGAATAAGAATTGTAATCTGAGACTTGTCCTGGAGCCTCACAGTGCATCTTTGCAGTAGCTTTGTAAAATGGGGTGGAAGGCAAAATAGTCACAAGGAAGGTATGACTGATTCCCCCAAAGCTATGAATCAAATTACTGATAGACTCAAGAGATTAACTGGGATGGATACTCCACCTCCATACTCCCAAAGATATGTCCATTAGATCACCGTGTTTCGAGAGACAAGCCTCAGCAAGACGGAGAGGCATGCACCAAAGTAAGCAATATTTTAAACAAGGTCTTGCCTGAAGTCATATTTGTAGAAAGGTGAAGTATTTGTTCATTTATCAGTGTTTGGTTACTCATCTGGCTGGCTTGATCTTTTTTCTTTGTGTGCAGATAGAATTTCAAAAAGAGCTAAATCATTCTCTTTGAAATCTGGCATAATTTGCTCCAAGGCTGAAATTTTACTTGACTAGTTCCGGCTCAGGGACCTAACATGAAAATCCTGGAACAACTTTAATTTCAGAAGCATAATAAACTGGCTTTTCCTGAACTTTGTGACCTCATTATTTCCAACTAGTTTAGTTTGTGCTCTCCTTCTTTTCTTTTCCCTCCTGGAATTTAAACTATTTGGGGCTATTTTCATAGTTAACTGAAATGAAGTTTTGAATGTAGATTAAGAAACAATAAGAGCTCAGCCCTGCCTCCCAGCAATGTGTCAACATCTCTCATAAATTTCTGTGTGTGTGTATATATATATATGTTTATATATATATGTTTATAAGGTACTGGTAAAATGTTAATGCACATGCAGTATGTAATATGATATAAGGGAGATCCACTGTGAGTCTACCTACAGCCTAGTCACATACTCATAATGAAGAAATGGGACTTTTAGGTTGCGCTTAAATGCTTCTTGTTGCTGCTGCTGTTGCTGTTGTTGTTATCATTATTACTATTTTATTTACAAACCACCTTTTACCCATGCCTCATGTTGATTTACAAGCATGCCATAAAAGCAGGATAAAAATAGTTCTTAAAAACCAGTACAAAACAATAACTGAATACGATAACAGAGACCTTTTCCTCCAGCTGGAAAAGCTCAGCCTCATCTAAAAATCCTGACTGTACCCACAAACTGAACCTAATCCAAGGCTTGGTGTAATGCCAGGGCCTCTAGCTCATCCTCTGATGAGGAATCCCCTGGCTAAGACGTGACATGTTGTTGTTGTTTAGTCGTTTATTCATGTCCGACTCTTCGTGACCCCATGGACCAGAACACGCCAGGCACTCCTGTCTTCCACTGCCTCCCGCAGTTTGGTCAAACTCATGTTTGTAGCTTCGAGAACACTGTCCAACCATCTCGTCCTCTGTCATCCCCTTCTCCTTGTGCCCTTAATCTTTCCCAACATCAGGGTCTTTTCCAGGGAGTCTTCTCTTCTCATGAGGTGGCCAAAGTATTGGAGCCTCAGCTTCCCGATCTGTCCTTCCAGTGAGCACTCAGGGCTGATTTCCTGAACCTAATACAAGGCTTGGTGTAATTCCAGGGCCTCTAGCTCATCCTCTGATGAGGAATCCCCTGGCTAAGACATGACATAGGAACCTTCAAAGGTATTTCCTAGCTCTGTTGCTTGAGATCCCCACCCCCCATAACACACATTTTTTTCCTAGATTTGCCATAGATAACCTTGGACCTTTTAGATAAAAAGCATGTACTGTGCAGCTGACCTATAATTCATCCCCCATCCATGGAGATCAGCTATGCTGTTCACAATGCCTAGTAATAATAATAATTATTATTGAAGTGCTGCTATTTTAAGCCCCAGCGTGCTTTGTGATATGGAGACCTAAAAAGTAACAACGTTCTACTCAGATAGCTTACAGTCTACATAAAATGGTCATGAGAAAGATGGTGATTAAAGTAATAAACAGAATGAATGAAAGTGAGAGCGTGCGGGATGATTTGACAAAGAAGGATCAGGGATGAAGTCTGGAGAGTTGATGACGGCGGCCAACATAGCAACAGTATCTTAAATCCTTTGCATGGAAAGGAAGTTTTTGGAAGAGGGGTTGTAAAGCAGAGGGGTAGGTGGTGTGATGAATAGAGAAACAATATGGCGGAGGCAACAATGGTAAATCATGAGAGAATACATGCTGGACAGACTATGTGTCTAATCATCCCTGTTCTTTGGCCACAGTGCCTCTGGCTGATGGGAATTGGGAGTCCAACAACATCTATAGAGCCACCCGTTCCCTAGCCGCGGCTTAAATGAAAAGAGTAGACTCTTGACTAGAAAGCAAGCAGGTAGAAGCAGATAGCAAGGGTGATTTGCAAGCAATTGTAAAGAAAGGGACTTTTAGCAAAAGCAGAGGTATTCAAAACATTTTGGATGCAGGCAAACAAGAGGAGGAGGATAAGATAAGGGAAGAGGCAAATTTGTAGACTGTCTCCTCCCTTATTTTGTATTTTAACAAGAAAATAGCTGTAGCTGACCACCTAAAGAAGAGTGATACTCACAATGAAGAAGCACGATCGCTGACATTATCCAATTTATTTCCTCATTTGGTCATGCTCCCATTTCTTTTGGCCCTACCTACCACTGGAATGCATCCCTGGGAAAACTGGTCACCAGGGAATGCAGCCTTCAGTCTGAAAAAAGTTCCCCACTCCTGGACTAAGCCTATTCAATGCCTCCTTTTTCACTCTTAAGCCATAGATGCATATCCTTAGCTTAGCAGTTCATTTGCCTTATAGTTCAGTAACACCAAGTATTGTTTTAAGGTACGATAAATATATAGTCTACCACATCTGAATAGCAACTTGAAACCCAGAAGCTCTCCTATACTACATGTGAGAATTTTTATTATTTATTCATTTATGTATCACTTAATACCAAAATAGGCTTCTATGTGGTTTGCAAAGAATGAAACCAGACCCATTGTGGAATAGCACAAATTGTTGAGGAAGACAAAAAATTCAGATGTACCGTATTTTTTCGTCTATAAGACGCTCTCATGTATAAGATGCCCCCTATTTGGAGGGACTCCGATTTAAGAAAATGGGGGGATATGCATCTGTGTATAAGACGCCCCAAAATTTTTGACATTTTTTAAAAGGAAAAAACCTAGTCTTATACACAGAAAAATACGGTAAGTCATAATAATCTAAGATTCCTACTGACTTTTCTTACATACTATTTTATGATAGCAGAAAGCAATAGCATCACTTATACTGATGGCAATTTACTTAACATTAGGATTCATACAAAATCAGAGGGCTTGGTTATTTCCATCTCATTCGCACTAGCTATTAACCTCTTCCAACTACATGGTAGGGGTGAGGAGTTCTTCAGGGACACAAAGGACATGTTGGATGTAGAATGAAATTTCTTTAACCATGCAATCCCATGTATGCCTACTCAGAAGTGAGACCCACTGATTTCAATTGGATGCTAGAGGCCAGATTATAACAGTGTATTAATTCCTAACATATAAATGTACTGGGTAAATAAATGTTTTTCAAAAAGACATCAGACTGAGGGAGTTTTCTATAGAAGAACATTTCAGAACTGAAGTGCTGCAGCGGACAAGGGAATGTCACAGGTTACCCCCCCAAAAAGGCTTTATCTAAGTAGTCCCTTCCCCCCAAAAGGGGGGACCTGGGGAAGATCTTAGCTGGAGCATGCTTGTGTTGGTGGAGCCAGTTCTTAGTTGCATCCCATTCCACTTATAAGTTAAAACCAGCATCCTGAACTGGGCTGGGAAATGGCCTTCCAGTTCATAGATGCTGTGGTATAGAGGAAGACTTCAGCCTTTCAAGAGTCTTCTTGTGTTCATATGTCAACTTCTAGGGAGGGAGTAGCTAGGGAGGGAGAGAAGCAAACCATTAGGAATATTGAAAGTTCACCCCTGTTAAAATAAATCTGAAAGATTAAATCTCTGTTACAACCTACTTTTGCTGCCATACACGAGGCCCCCGTTTACTTACATCCTAAGCAGCAGACATACATGCTTGTACCGTATTACCATAAGAACCTCTGTTGCAT